AGGTATGGAAGAGTAGATTGGATATGGGACACTGGACCCGGTTTCCAGCACAATGGCGTCACTTTCAAGATGTACTGTTTCGCAAAGATGTATTTAAGGGACGCTGGACCCGGTTTCCACCAGGTGTTGCTCCCCACCAATAGATGGAGCGGCCCGCCAGGCAAAGCCTCAATCCCGGTGGTTCTCTTACCACTACCAGGATAGAGGCCCTTGCACAAGGGCTTTAAAAGAAAAAGAAGAAAAAAAAAAAAAAAAAAAAAGCTCCTCAATGGATCGGCGAGATCAGCCCCGGAGGACGTTTTCCAATCCAAAGTATACTGTCAGCCAAGCACTTGATTTACTCATCAGCGCCACAGCAGACCCGCTTCAGTTATCACACTCAGTCTGTCCCTTGAAATGTGATAAGTGTGGCTTATGCCACTTGAGCAGTTGATCTTCCCCACTCAAGGACATGGTTAGTTCCCCATGGACTTGAATAGGTCTAACACATGGCACGCCGCTTGCTGGAAGCCTGCCCGCTTCTCTTCTAGCTGCCTCCTTCTCAAGAGTGCATTTTCCTTTGCTGTAGACAAACCTTCGTTTATGTCGGATGCAAGTCTCTCGATCTCGCTGACACGAACATCACACAAAAAACAACAGGAAGGTTCAGAAAAGGAAACGAAAACCAATATGGCTGTCCCCCGATGAGGAGAAGGCGGTTGGAAAAAAAAAAAAAAAAAAAAGGGGGAAGAGAAACCCGCTACCCAGCCTTGTGGCTGAGTGGTACACACATGAGACTCTTGAAAAAGAGATCAAGAGCAGGTATCCTGGTGGAGACAATAATGGGCGAAAAGAAAAGAAAAATAGCAGGAAAGAGACTAACAACTAGCTCTTCCTTTGGGACATCCGTTTGAATTGGAACAATACAGAGAAGATTAGCATGGCCCCTGCGAATGGATGATTATTGTGTGTGTGTGGGGGGGGGGGGGGGGGAGCTCAAATGGGTAAAAAGTGCAACGTAGCGGGTCCTGTTCGGCACAAAACCGGACATTGCATCTCAACCGAACCAGAGGTGGCGGAACAGAAGAGGCAAATGGACTTCAAAAACTCAACCATACTCCATGAGTTCAATCATATTATGAGCCTTGTGACTGCTCTTGCACGTGCGTTCGCTGAATTTCAACATCCTTCATAGTTTGTCCATGCGAGTGTCGAAAGTTTTCGCTATTTCCGACGCTCTCTTTAGCTTAAGAAGAAGGGTAGGCTGGTGGGGAGGTTTCCCGGGAACTATTACTATGGTAAAAGTGGTAGTCGGTACTTATGAGAAATTTGGCCTCTAGCCTGTCTTCCTCAAATGGGTAGAGATTGATTCGTCACGAGTGCGGTGCACAAGGCAACTGAATCCCCCCATCTGTTTTTTCCGCTCATCCCAGACGCGACTTTGCGACTGACTGAGCATACATGTTGGCTGCGCTATCATGTTTTGGACAATGAAACTGCAGAATGGGTCTAGAGGATCATTCATGCAGCCAAAATTGCTCAAAGGGGTCTGGCTTAGGGCCCAACAAGTCGTCAAAATATTCTTCCTGCTCTATCAAAGGTTTTAGCCAGGGCTACACTGGTGTACTCTCCTCGGCTGAGATAGGCGCACTGGTAAGCATTATATTGCGTCACTAGATTAGGGCGAACAGGCCTACGCAAGGATGACATGCATAAATTGAGAAATGGTCCAAATTTTTTGACAAAAAAAACAAAAAAAAAACAAAAACAAAAGGCGGTGATTTGCTGGGACTAGATTCAAGAGGCCTGAGAAGGAAAGTGCACATTTTGGTCTCTGATTGTATTAAACCACCAGTACTTGGCCCAGATATCGGCCGCGGCACTTTCCCGTTAACGCGCAGCTAAGCGAGGGCTGGGGCTATGTTGCCCAAGTTGCTCGTGCTGTGGGCTGCGATGTCATATGGAAAGGAAGGAACAAGTGCGTATTTGATAACATTGAAATGACTAATAAGGAAATCAGAGCTTCTTTCAGAGGCTCCTTGAGACGCACAATTCAAGCTAATTGGAAGAGGAAAGGAAGAACCAGAGCTGGGAGGTGGTTTGGTGAAACATGGGGCCGGTGTGGTAAGTTGGTAAAATTGGAAGGGGTTAAGCTTGTCTTCTCTGATTGGTTCTGGTCCAAGTAGGCATTAAGAACCTGGGGTACTCGGTTTAAGGTTTCACAGTAGGAGGGCAGAGGGACAATGAAGGAGGAAGGAGCGCCCGCCATAGACTTCCGGTCCGAGTGGACCGAGCTGCCGTTTTTAGGCAGAGAAGTAGGTTAAGCAAGTAGGTTGGATAGGCTAGTGTAGGGTAGGATGTAGATAGTTTTTGGGTCTGTGGTAATGAGATGGTGGTTTTTGGTTTGTTTCGGGCTTTTCGGCGTGTTGCTTGGTTTATTTTCTGAGGACAGGATTTCAGGGCAGCGGTCTAGAGTTGGCCATTTCTGTTCCTAGATATTTCCTGGCCTCCTGGGTTTTAAGAAGTCTCCAGCCAGTGGGCGGTAAGCGAAACCGGCTGATGCTGCCGGGATAACTTCGGGTGGAATTGTTGAGGTGCCTGATGCTGCCGGGATAACTTCGGGTGGACTTGTTGAGGTGCCCGGCCTCATGGATACGTTTTTGAAATGAAGTGCATGTTTGGAAAAAAAAGAAAAAAGAAAAAAGTTTGTAATTGGCAAAATCAGGCAGCCACTCATTGTTGCTTTTTTTTTTTTTCTTCCACTCCCACGGCTGGGCCACCACCAATATGTTTTTTTTTTTGTTTTTATTGGTAACTTGTGTTTTTTTTTTTTTTTTTTTCTATATTCTTCTCTCAACTTCTGTTT